TTTAAATCCATATATTTGATATTCAGCTAATAGTTCTCTATTTTCTACATTCATCCACGTTTCGGTAAGTGCAATAATATCTATTTTTTCTGTGCAGACAAGAGCATTTAATTCGTTAATTTTATTTCTTAGACTTCTACTGTTAGTGTAATATACCCTAAGTGAATTGTTATTTTGCGGACCTTCTCTTTCAGTGATCGTTTTGCCAATTCCTTTCTCCCACAAATACATACTTTTATTACCTCCTTCCTCCAAATCAATTCCCATACCTCTATCTACTAACAGTTTAAACCCAAACAAACACCTCTAACCACTTCTTCTAACGAGTTCGCAACAGCAACAACCCCAGCTCTCGATAGATGCACCCCATCACGAGCATACATTTTATTTCTTCCATAGAAGTGTTCCCAGTTGTCTATGAAAGATATTGCATTTGATTTGCAATATCTTTCCAGCCGGCAATTGACACCAAGTGCCCTCGATATCCATTCATTTCCCACTCCCTTTCTTGGAAGAATGCCACATATGATCGGGATTCCTCCCTTGCTCCTAACTAACTCTATGGCTGTTTTATACCTCTGAATCAGTTCCTCACTCCTAACTCGACCAACATCATTTCCTCCCACGCTAATGCAAATAATGCAAATAATAATATTAAAAGTATCAACACAAGACAGAACACGAAACAATGGAGTATAAATTGGATAAATTTAGATTTAGGAAAGACGCGTAAATGCAGGCGATGAGTCACAATAACGTGGCTGAAGTATGTTGACCAGACCACACACTAGAAGGTGAAGGGACGACGACGTTTCGGTCCGTCCTGGACCATTCTCAAGTCGATCGATTTGAGAATGGTCCAGGACGGACCGAAACGTCGTCGTCCCTTCTCCTTCTAGTGTGTGGTCTGGTCAACTTGCGTAAATACTGGTTCGGTAACAGGGTTGTTGATATGTGGAATCAATTACCGCGTAACGTGGTGGAGGCGGGGTCTTTTGATTGTTTCAAACGTGGGTTGGACATGTTTATGAGTTTCCAAATAGATTGGAAAGTCTTGGGTATGGGGTGTTGGCCGGTATTGGAGCTAGACGTGAACCCAGCGATAGGTGACGTAAAAGGGGTTTTCGATGTGGATTCAAAATATAACCTATTTAAAAGTATTCTAAGCAAAGCCCAGGAATGTAGTATACCATATAAATTGAATATATCGAATAATAATGATCCAAAGTGGATAACAAAGGATCTGAAGCACCTTATAGGTAGTATAAGAACAAAGGTAACTGCAGAAGGCCTATTGGCCCATACGAGGCAGGTCCTATCTATAACCACCTAATCCCACTCATATACATGTCCAATCCACGCTTGAAACAATCGAGGGACCCCATCTCTACCACGTTACGTGGCAATTGGTTCCACAAATCAACAACCCTGTTGCTGAACCAGTATTTACCCAAGTCTTAAACTGGGCAGGTTGACGAGTTTAGCAGTTACCAGGGAGGATGTTCTTAAACAAATAGTAAAACTCAAACCAAACAAATCCCCAGGGCCGGATGAAGTGTTTGCCAGGGTGCTTAAAGAATGCAAAGAGGAGCTTTGTGACCCACTGTCAACCATATTTAATAAATCAATAGAGTCAGGCAGAGTGCCAGAGTTTTGGAAAGTTGCTAATGTGATACCAGTTTTTAAGAAAGGAGATAGATCACTTGCGTCTAACTATCGACCAATTAGCCTAACGTCTATTGTGGGAAAGTTACTCGAATCTATAATAGCAAATAAAATTCGTCTTCATCTTGAAAAACATAAATTAATAATTGAGTCGCAACATGGTTTTATAAATGGCCGTTCATGTTTAACAAATTTGTTATCTTTTTATTCTAGCATTGTTGAGGCAGTTGATAGTGGTAAGGATTGCGATGTTGTATACCTTGACTTTAGCAAAGCTTTTGATACAGTGCCACATGAAAGACTGATTAAAAAGATAGAGTCTCATGGTATTGGGGGTGCTATATTAAGCTGGATTAGGGCATGGCTATACCAAAGGAAACAGAGAGTTAGTATAAATGGAATCAAGTCAGAGTGGGAAAATGTTGTAAGTGGAGTGCCTCAAGGCTCTGTCCTGGGACCTCTGTTGTTTATAATATATATAAATGATTTAGATTCAGGTTTGAGTAGCAACATTTGCAAATTTGCCGATGATACGAAAATCGGTAGGGAAATTAATTCGGAGGAGGACTCACTATCACTTCAAGTTGATCTAGATATGGTTTTGAAATGGTCAAAGGATTGGCAGATGCAGTTTAATGCTGATAAATGTAAAGTTCTGAGGTTAGGTAATGATGATAGAGTTACAAGATACGAGCTAGATGGTGTTGTGATTGCGAAGTCGGATTGCGAAAGGGATCTGGGAGTTATGATTAGTAAGAATTTAAAACAAAAGGATCAATGCATAAATGTTCGTAATAAGGCAAATCGGACACTTGGATTTATTAATCGCAGCGTTAGTAACAAGACACCTGGTGTGGTTCTCAAGCTATAGCTTGCTCTAGTTAGGCCCCATTTAGATTATGCAGTTCAGTTTTGGTCGCCATATTATAGAATGGATATAAATTCACTTGAACGTGTCCAGCGTAGGATGACTAAGTTAATTCCCCAAATTAGAAATCTTTCATATGAAGAAAGATTAACAAAGCTTAAGTTGCATTCACTGGAATGGCGAAGAGTTAGGGGTGACATGATAGAGGTTTACAAGTGGATGAATGGACATAACCGGGGGGATATTAATAGGGTATTAAAAGTATCAACACAGGACAGAACACGAAACAATGGGTATAAATTGGATAAGTTTAGATTTAGGAAAGACTTGGGTAAATACTGGTTCAGTAACAGGGTTGTTGATTTGTGGAACCAATTGCCGCGTAACATTGTGGAGGTGGGGTCCCTCGATTGTTTCAAGCACGGGTTGGACAAGTATATGAGTGGGATTGGGTGGTTATAGAATAGGAGCTGCCTCGTATGGGCCAATAGGCCTTCTGCAGTTACCTTTGTTCTTATGTTCTTATGTCTTTTCTAAATCTAAACTTATCCAATTTATACCCATTGTTTCGTCTTCTGTCTGGTCCTATTGAATTTTGTAACTAGCTCATCAAGATTGTAACTTGCTTAGCTAAATGAATTGTGGGGTTCAGTCCCTGAGCCCATTATGTGCCTCTGTAACCCTTTCCACTACCGCCCACAAGATGGGTATGGGGTGCATAATAAATTAACTAAACTAACTAACTGTATGGTCCATACGAGGCAGCTGCTATTGGCCCATACGAGGCAGCTGCTATTGGCCCATACGAGGCAGCTGCTATTGGTCCATACGAGGCAGCTGCTATTGGCCCATACGAGGCAGCTGCTATTGGCTCATACGAGGCAGCTGCTATTGGCCCATACGAGGCAGCTGCTATTGGTCCATACGAGGCAGCTGCTATTGACCCATACCAGGCAGCTGCTATTGGTCCATACGAGGCAGCTGCTATTGGCCCATACGAGGCAGCTGCTATTGGCCCATACGAGGCAGCTGCTATTGGCCCATACGAGGCAGCTGCTATTGGTCCATACGAGGCAGCTGCTATTGGTCCATACGAGGCAGCTGCTATTGGTCCATACGAGGCAGCTGCTATTGGTCCATACGAGGCAGCTGCTATTGGTCCATACGAGGCAGCTGCTATTGGCCCATACGAGGCAGCTGCTATTGGCCCATACGAGGCAGCTGCTATTGGCCCATACGAGGCAGCTGCTATTGGCCCATACGAGGCAGCTGCTATTGGCCCATACGAGGCAGCTGCTATTGGTCCATACCAGGCAGCTGCTATTGGCCCATACGAGGCAGCTGAACATAGGAACAAAGGTAAATGCAGAAGGCCTATTGGCCCATACGAGGCAGCTCCTATTTATAACCACCCAATCCCACTCATATACATGTCCAACCCACGCTTGAAACAATCGAGGGACCCCACCTCCACCACATTACGCGGTAATTGGTTCCACAAATCAACAACCCTGTTACCGAACCAGTATTTACCCAGGTCTTTCCTACATCTAAACTTTCCTAATTTATGCCTATAAAAGATCAGAAGCTTGATCCTTGGGAAGGGAAGGTCAGAAGTTTGACCCTGGATGCTGATAAAAGCCGAAAGTACATACATACACACACACACGTCCTGTCCTCGACGAAACGACTCAATAGTTACTAAAGCTTCGACTTCGATTCTTACTAAAGAATCGACTTGAGAATGGTCCAGGACGGACCGAAACGTCGTGGTCCCTTCACCTTCTAGTGTGTGGTCAGGTCAACATACTTTAGCCACGTTATTGTGACTCATCGCCTGCAATAGTTACTAAACTATTTTCACCCCCCCCCCCACCTCCCCCCTCTCCACCCATCCCAGACACTCCCCCCCCCCTCTTCAGCTTTTATTTTAATTACCTTAATATTTGTTCTATATATGATTTTGTATGATAATTATTACAGTGTTGAGTCATATTCACGGTCGTCTCATTTTGGTGTTGTGTGTTAAGAGTGAATAATAAATATTGCGCGGTGTAGTGAGTGAGCGAGCACACATACACAGCCTCGCTCCTGTGCCAGGCAAGTCCACTACGGGCTCACCATAGCCCGTGCTACTTGGAACGTTTTGCTCCAAATAGCTGAATCTATAACAGCAACAACAAGGTGAGCGAGCCCCCAGTTTGGCGCCTCGCATCACCTCTTCTTCTTCTTGGGTAAGATTACCTGTGTTAATTAGCCCTGCTCTTGGTATGTCTTTGGTACCATTATAACCCTCCAGGGACCCCTCTCCCTCAATCCCTCCCTCCAGCCGGACTCCTTCCTCGTCCCACCCTCCACCTTTACACTTGTTTTATGTCTTGAGTGTAAACCTCTGGTGTTTATACACATACACACAGGTGTGGTGTACATGGTGTAGTGTGTGTTGAGTGTGTTATGCCTCCCACAGGGGTCTGGAGTACTTCCTGGCCATGGAGAACATGAACTTGTCTGCCATCCGCACCATCAGAGTCCTGCGGCCGCTGCGAGCCATCAACAGGATCCCCAGTGAGTACACTGCCCTCTACACCCGTTGTTGCTGCCTTCTCCACCCTCTGCTGCTGCCTTCTCCCTCAACACCCTCTGTTGCTGTCTTCTCCACCCTCAACACCCTCTGTTGCTGCCTTCTCCCCCCTCTACACCCTCTGTTGCTGCCTTCTCCCCCCTCTACACCCTCTGTTGCTGCCTTATCCTCCCTCAACACCCTCTGTTGCTGCCTTCTCCCCCCTCAACACCCTCTGTTGCTGCCTTCTCCCCCCTCAAAACCCTCTGTTGCTGCCTTCTCCCCCCTCAACACCCTCTGTTGCTGCCTTCTCCACCCTCAACACCCTCTGTTGCTGCCTTCTCCACCCTCAACACCCTCTGTTGCTGCCTTCTCCACCCTCAACACCCTCTGTTGCTGCCTTCTCCCCCCTCTACTCCCTCTGTTGCTGCCTTCACCCCCCTCCACACCCTCTCCTGCTGCCTTCTCCCCCCTCTACACCCTCTGTTGCTGCCTTCTCCACCCTCAACACCCTCTCCTGCTGCCTTCACCCCCCTCCACACCCTCTGTTGCTGCCTTCTCCCCCCTCTACACCCTCTGTTGCTGCCTTCTCCACCCTCCACACCCTCTGTTGCTGCCTTCACCACCCTCCACACCCTCTGTTGCTGCCTTCTCCCCCCTCTACACCCTCTGTTGCTGCCTTCTCCACCCTCCACACCCTCTGTTGCTGCCTTCTCCACCCTCCACACCCTCTGTTGCTGCCTTCACCACCCTCCACACCCTCTGCTGCTGCCTTCACCACCCTCCACACCCTCTGTTGCTGCCTTCACCACCCTCCACACCCTCTGCTGCTGCCTTCACCACCCTCCACACCCTCTGTTGCTGCCTTCTCCACCCTCCACACCCTCTGTTGCTGCCTTCTCCACCCTCCACACCCTCTGTTGCTGCCTTCTCCACCCTCCACACCCTCTGTTGCTGCCTTCACCACCCTCCACACCCTCTGTTGCTGCCTTCACCACCCTCCACACCCTCTGTTGCTGCCTTCACCACCCTCCACACCCTCTGTTGCTGCCTTCACCACCCTCCACACCCTCTGTTGCTGCCTTCACCACCCTCCACACCCTCTGTTGCTACATGTAGAGACTCTTTCAATATTTAGTGACATCTCATACAAAAGAGGTAGTATGGTTGATGCTCCAGGTATGAGGATCCTGGTGGACTAAGAATATGGTTGATGCTCCAGGTATGAGGATCCTGGTGGACTAAGAATATGGTTGATGCTCCAGGTATGAGGATCCTGGTGGACTAAGAATATGGTTGATGCTCCAGGTATGAGGATCTTGGTGGACTAAGAATATGGTTGATGTTCCAGGTATGAGGATCCTGGTGGACTAAGAATATGGTTGATGCTCCAGGTATGAGGGTCTTGGTGGACTAAGAATATGGTTGATGCTCCAGGTATGAGGATCTTGGTGGACTAAGAATATGGTTGATGCTCCAGGTATGAGGATCTTGGTGGACTAAGAATATGGTTGATGCTCCAGGTATGAGGATCCTGGTGGACTAATAATATGGTTGATGCTCCAGGTATGAGGATCCTGGTGGACTAAGAATATGGTTGATGCTCCAGGAATGAGGATCCTGGTGGACTAAGAATATGGTTGATGCTCCAGGTATGAGGATCCTGGTGGACTAAGAATATGGTTGATGCTCCAGGTATAAGGATCTTGGTGGACTAAGAATATGGTTGAGGATCCTGGTGGACTAAGAATATGGTTGATGCTCCAGGTATGAGGATCTTGGTGGACTAAGAATATGGTTGATGCTCCAGGTATGAGGATCTTGGTGGACTAAGAATATGGTTGATGCTCCAGGTATGAGGATCTTGGTGGACTAAGAATATGGTTGATGCTCCAGGTATGAGGATCTTGGTGGACTAAGAATATGGTTGATGCTCCAGGTATGAGGATCTTGGTGGACTAAGAATATGGTTGATGCTCCAGGTATGAGGATCCTGGTGATGCTCCTGCTCGACACGCTACCCATGCTGGGCAACGTCCTCCTCCTCTGCTTCTTCGTCTTCTTCATCTTCGGCATCGTGGGCGTGCAGCTGTGGGCGGGGATGCTGCGTCAGCGATGCTTCATAGAGCTGCCCAAGAATGTCACAGCCATCTCCGAGTGAGTTTACGCCTATCTTATCTTTGGGGTACATTGTTGGTGTGTGGGGTGTTGGGTGGGTATTGGGTGTTAGGTATGTGGATGTGTGGGTTAGGTACGAGCTTGGGCCTCTTGGGTCTGTTTGTTGAATGTGTGTGTGTTTTGTATGAGTGTGTGTGTGTGTGTGTGTGTTTCGGGTGTAGGTGAGAGCGCGTGTGTGACTGTGTGTTGATGGAGCTGGCTCATGGATTATGGTGAGCTCATTATATTCATTGTGAGGCAGATCCATAGCCTACACACTGCCATGTTGTCTCGGGATGGAATGTGAGCGAACTGCTTAAAGCTATCCAATCACATTCAGTCCATAACTACTTTGAAAATTAGTCTGTAAAAGATATTCGGCACGGGTTTGTGCAAGTTCCAGAAGGCCATCCGGACGTTAGACAAGTTCCGGCAGGCCATCCGGACGTTAGACAAGTTCCGGCAGGCCATCCGGACGTTAGACAAGTTCCGGAAAAGCCATCCGGACGTTAGACAAGTTCCGGAAGGCCATCCGGACGTTAGACAAGTTCCGGAAGGCCATCCGGACGTTAGACAAGTTCCGGAAGGCCATCCGGACGTTAACAGTTTGGAATGTGCTGCTGAAATTATTCTGCTAATTTACATGAATTTACTCGAGGGTCACATGTATCTAGTTGCAAAGACTAGGACAGGAAGCCTTTGGCGTGTCAGTCCCCCCTCCCCTTTTTCTAGGAATTATTTCCAACTGGATTTTAAACTGCAGTAATGTTTTGACCTTTATAGCTTGGGCGGGTAACACGTTCCATGTGTATATTACCTTGGATGACAGAGCATCTAGTGTCTGTGTTCTGCACTGTGTTTGTTGAGCTTGAAGCTGTTGCCCCTTGTGTGTGTGTGTGTGTGTGTGTTATATGTGCCTTTGTCATTAAATTTAAGGATGTGTTTACTCTCAGGTATTTCTCATATATGATGCTGAAATACAGCCCATTCTTCTGTTTAGATAGTACTTATAGTAACGATGCTGACCTTTGTACATATTGTCGTAATGCACAATTAGAAAGTAGAATTTGGTTTCTATTGAATTTGGACAAACCGGAGAAGGTTTTGTATTTACGTTGTTATTGAAACCTATCCCAGCCATCCTAGGCCTAATACATACTATATGAGGCCTAATATAGTACAAATATATGTTATACTAGGTCTAGGAATGTTTGAGTTTAAATTTATCATTATTTTATCCAGACTATATAAAGTGAACAGTAGCAAATTGTACTATCTAATTGTCCATTACGTCAATATATGTACGATGGTGTGAACTTTATCAAAAAGTTGAGTTGAGAAATGTGTTCTCTTCACACTATACTTGTTACTCTAAGGGTCGTCTCACCTCTACAAATACAAATACAAATGATGAAAGATGATACTCTGATGATACTCTGATGAAAGTATCATTACTGTTGTCTTGGATAAGGTGCAGTAGCCAGTGTTCCCACCACCTATGGCCAGCTGTCAGGTCCACTACACAGTGCACAAGTCCCCCAGCTCTTCTGAGTCTTCTCATTAGTTCTACATCATTAACACAAACAGATAGGGAGTAAGTTCTGCATCATGTGGTTGACGTCCATTAAGAGAGGAGTGTCCCTCCCTAGTAGCTACATTTGTGGTGCTACACTCGTTACCTCTCTTGTGTTGAGTCCTCGTGATCTCCGTCTTGTTCAGCTGTTGAGCTTCCGTCGTTGTGGTCTGGTGAGCGTGTTTAGTCCTGTGGCTCTGTCAGGTCACAACCCCTTGTCCCTCACTTTCCCCTCTCGTCCCTCGCCATCCCCTCTCGTCCCGCGCCCTTTTATTATTATTATATTTAATTTATTTATATAAATACAAATAAAAATAAAAAGGTGATAGATGCAGGCTCTTGTTTCTGCACTCTTCTCTCATGCCTTCTAAACTCGATTATGGCTCTCCTGCCTACTCTGCCTCTCTCTTTTGACTCTTCGTTGTCTTGATGCTCTGCACCATACTGGTTTATGCCTCAGCTCTTGTGCCTTTTGTATATCCACTATCCTGAACCTGTATACTGAAACAGGAGTCCTGTCTCTACAGGACCTTTGGGATTGTTACTGTCTTCACTACCTTGTGAGGTCCCTGCAACATCCTCACTCATATATGCTGTACTTTGAGCTTTGAGGGGCCCACATGGGGGCTTTTTACCCCACCATGTGGGCCCTCTTCCCTCTCACCACCTTCCTTTTTCTGCATGGATGTCTCTCTTGCAAGATTCCCTCTCATTTAATGTTAGCAATATCTCTCCTCATGTCATTCTATCTCTGCCTCCATGGTGGGTCCCACTTGCAAAGTTTTGCAAGACCTTGACTCACATGCTAAAGGCTTCTATCCCTACTATGGTTATGAAACGCCTCTCCCTTGAACACTTTTCTTCGCACTCGAGTTCCTTTGTCCTCTTCACGGATGGCTCCAAGTTTGCCGGTGGTGTAGGCTACTCTGTTGTCTTCCCTGACCAAACCTATGAACATTCTGCCTGCCTCCTGAGACTAGCACCTTTACGGCTCAACTTTATGCAATCTAGTGTGTACTTCAGCTTCCTTCCCGGTGTCAACGTTGTTTTGTCATTGTAGTTGACTTCTGCAGTGCCCTCATGGCCCTGGAGTCATTTAACCCTATGTATCCTGTGTTAGTCAAAATTCAACATTGGCTATTTCTTATCTTCAGTAGATTTAAAATGGTTGAATTTTGCTGGGTTCCCAGCCATATTGGAATTACCTTAAGGGTAAAATGAAGTTTTAAGGAGATCCTGTGGCATTTCATCTTTTTTGTTGAGCTTCGTAAAGTCCACTATGTTTTCATTTTAGTTACTGAGTCCCAAGGAGTCGGAAATTGTTTGGCTGCTTTCAGTTTTGATGTCTTTTTATTCGCTTTTTATATTCGTGTAGCAAGCCAGGCGCCTGTATTAAGTTTGGTATTCTTCCTTATGACTGAGGCCTCTAACTCAATACTGGACTGGAAAATAGAAGGCAAGGTTATGGGGTGGAAGGGCAGAAATCTTCATGTCATTTCTACGAGGAAAACTGGTCCTAGTGGAGAATAGATCAGTGTTAGTCATGGGTGATTTCTTAGGACAGCTGTTTATTGTACTTGTAATTACTCTTCTTACATGTTTTAGCTGTGCTGCTTATCCACGGGTGGCTGTGCATGTTCTCTCAGGTTCTGAAGCCACTGTCTCATTACCTTTGTATATTCATATACTTTGTTTTTTTCATATATGTTTCAGGTATCCATGTTACACATTGTATGTCTGAAGTTTTATACACAATAAGCAATATAGTATCCAAACTCCTAGGAACCTGGTGATGTTCAGATAATAAAACTGTTTTGATAATAGACTAGTCTTCAAGTATACAGAATGGTCAGCATTTTATAAATATTTTCATGAGAAAATACAGTTGGTTCCCAGTTTTGCTTGGAAATGCTTTCCTGGACAGACTAAATTTAAACTGCACAATCTCTGAAGCATCTATACTTCCACTTCACCTTCAATCCTTCATTTTTTAATTTGGTTACCTATTTCTTTTACTTTATTTATCTATTAATTTAAATAATTGCACACAGTTGAAAGTATTATTGGTGTACATTTTGTATTATATTGTATTAATTTTCAGAGATTGTAACTTTCTTGACAGTTGCACAGACTGGAATATGATCTAGTATTTTAATTCAAAACAAAACTGGATCTCATAGAATAATATCATGTCAAATTGGGATCCCAGTGCACTATTAATGTTAAAGCTACCTTTACCCACTTTAAAATATGCTGCAATATATGTTCTGGTCTTCGTGCTGTATATTACAGTACATACAGTAGCTTGAGTCCATTACTCAAGTCATCGATACTGTCAGTAGTCAAATAGAATTTTAAAAAGTAATTTTTTCATTTTTAAATTAACTATTATATTTGTAATTTTTCTGAAAGAGAGACTTTACATGAATAAAGTAAAATACAAGTATTTCAGAATACTGTAAGAAGTGTTTGAATACTATTTTGTTTGCTGTAACTTGTGTGTGTATTTTCTCTAGGTGTGATGTGTAGTCATTTTCAAATACTGGCTACTCATTACTCCTTTTGCATTTTTTATGAAACTACTTCATCTGCACAAGCATGTATTTTATTAATAACTTTTGTTATGATATTATGTTTGAAATAGATATTGTTACTTAATGAAGCACTTCTTTTTAACTTTTCTCTTCACATCTTGGTGTATTTTATATATATTGTATTCATTTTTAATGAAAAAATAAATTTTATTTATTTGATAAGTCTGGTAATATTATTTTGGAATATGAACGTTGAGTATCATAAATCAATGCACTTTCACAGTACTTCTAGGCTGTTTAATAAATTTCCCCATTTTCCTACATTTATAACTTTTTTATGGTTATATAGCATGACTTGTTTATGATAATTATATTTGCATATTGTATATATTATACTCGCTATTAAAGTCAGTATGTGCATCTACAAACTTAGTATTTGGGTGGTGTATATACTGGAATGTGCACTGTACCTGAGCCATGTGTGTCTACGAGAGCAAGACACATATGGACTACATACATGTGCACTGTACCTGAGCCATGTGTGTCTACGAGAGCAAGACACATATGGCCTACATACATGTGCACTGTACCTGAGCCATGTGTGTCTACGAGAGCAAGACACACATGGCCTACATACATGTGCACTGTACCTGGGCCATGTGTCTCTACAAGAGCAAGACACACATGGCCTACATACATGTGCACTCATCTTACTCCAGCATATGTAGCCCACCAATTCATTTGAATTATCATTTTTTTCAGATTAAAGCCAATATATGTTGAAATCAACAGGGCAAAAAAGTAAGATAAATATCTCATAAAATAAGCGGGAACCACTATAACAGCGCGAGAAAGTAGTTTATTTACTTTAATCACCTCTAGTGCAACCACCA